AGCACTAGGCCCATGTTAGAAAAATAATTATCAGAGAAAGGCAGTTATATTTTCTTTACAGTAAATTGAAACCTAAAATATTGGAAGGCACCCACAATGTTGCCGAGTTCATTTTAGTGAAGACGTGGGGTCCTAGTCGGGTCAATTCTACCTTGGGCGCCTCACTCCTAGTAAAAAATGGTTTTGACGCAAACAACCACCGGAAAAGTTGCACGGCGACTGTTTCTTCCCGTAATCGTTGTAGATTGCACGAGTATTTTCTCACTACCGCTCTGATACCATGTAAGAAAGCACGGGAAAAAATATTATTGATATTCTATTAAATGTTTTATAGTAGCCCTATTTATACATAATCTACTCTTATTCCATGTGGGACTAGGGTTATTTACATTACTATCTAACAATTACCTAACAAGAATTACAACCATTTACATGCTACACATGAAATGCAGCTGCGAAATGGATCTGAAAAATGTTTAGATATACACAGATATTGCTATTAAGGAGACAAGCTCTGAAAATTAAAATTTAGAAATGAGGCTCCTAGTAGATCTTTCTCATGAAACATCGAAGTAACTGACATTCTTTAGACGTCCCCCAGTGTTATAGATGACCGAAGGAAAAGTGAATATTGTTCTATATGCAAAAAAATAAAAATAAAAAGAATTATCGCTACTTGTGAAAAATGTAATCATATTCGGCACAATGACTTTGCTTAGGAGAATAGTTATAAAGTATATAAGTACCATTTAACCCCAGACACCTAATACTTAAATAACCTATACTTAAATACAGAAGAAACTTCATATAACTAATAACCACTTCTTAAGTAACATTTTCAAGTTGAGTCAACTGTCACATTGGGATAATTTATAGTAGTGTTATAAATAGCGCTCGCCTCAGCGCTAATAGCGTGAGGCGAGGCGAGGCGAGACAGTGTCGCTACAGAGGGTCTGTTGCGTTGCGTTTTAAAATAGCGATCGCCTCTGCCTGTGTAGCGAGAGGCAACAGTGTCGCGAGAAGCGACTGTAGCGTCGCTTTTTAAAAATTAAAAAAAGAAAAGGGCAAAGACTTAAATCGCGATTAGGGCTTGACATTTGACAACAGAGCTTCTTCGAGCTTCTTCAACTTCGAACAAAACAACAGAGAGGTTTCTGAACTCGCGATTAGGGCTCGTCTGCCATCGTCTTCTTCATCGTCCGCCTTCGTCTTCTTCAAGCTTCAATAGAGGTTTCTGCCATTGAAAGACCAGGTATGCTTCTTCTCCCTTCTCCCTTCTCCCTTCTTCTCCCTTCTCCCTTCTCCCTTCTCCCTTCTATTTTTTTCCTCTGTTTTTGTCTTTTTTTGGCTCTGTTTTGGCAAAATAACAGAGGTTGTTTCGAGGCCCTGTTTTGGCAAAATACAGAGGTCTTCACCTGTTTTGCTTGCCTTTTTTCAATTATTGACTTATAGTCTTATAGAGTAGAATTAATTGCATATTGACTTGATAATTTTTTTCTATAAAACAGTGTTGAAATGGCGTCATCCGATAGTAATAAACGAAATGATATAGCTTGGAATTATGCTATACAAGGCTCATCAAGATCCGCAATTAAATGTGTGTTTTGTGAAAAAACATATCATGGTGGGATAACTCGTCACAAGCAACATTCGATAGATGGATTTAAAAATGTAGTATAATGTCCCCTTTGTCCGCCCGAGGTTAGGGAGGAAGTAAAAGCTTTTGTTGATAAGAAAAATGTGACAAGAACTCTTAATGAATTTTGAAGCACTGGTGAATCTAATTGATGAAGATGATGAAATGGATGAAGATGGTGAAATGGGACCTCCCCCCCCCCCCCCCAAAAAACTCATAAGATATCTTCTAGATCTAGCGCGTCATCCACGACACGTACTGACAAAAGGTCCTCTCAATCTTTATTTCTCGGCAAAACAACAAGAAAAGGGAAAAGGTGAAGAAGGTTCAGGTTTAGAAGCCAAGAAGATTTTGAGGGATCGCGTCGTAAGTGCCTTTGCAGCATGGATGTACGATGCAGGGCTTCCTTTCAACTGTGTTAACTACAAAACTTTTGATAAATTCATTCAGGCTGTAAGACAATATGCCCCAAGAATGAAGCCTCCTAGATATCATGAAGTTAGTAACTCATCTTAAAAAAGAGGTGAAGAAGATAGACCAAATTATTGAGGAGCATAAAGTGGAATGGAACAAGTTTGGATGTTCCATTATGATGGATAAATGGACAGCACGGATGGAAAAATGATAATAAATGTGTTGGTGAACTCTCCAAGGGGGAGTGTTTTTCTTGAATCTCACGATGCTAGCAACTTTTCTACGGATGAAAGCAAAATGTACAGCTTGTTTAGAAAGACTATTGATAAGATTGAAAAGGAAAATGTAGTACAAGTTGTTACAGATAATGCTAGTGAGAATGTTAGTGCGGGTAAAATGATGGAAGCTATGTATCCACACATTTATTGGACTCCATGTGCTACCCATTGTATCAACTTGATGTTTGGTGACATATTCAAGGAAAACCCATATGCTTCAGGTAACTTTAATATAGTTATCTTTAAAGCCTTTAACTTTATTTATACTTATGTCCTATCCTATTAAGTATTAACTATAAAATTGTTATTGTTACCTTTACAGTTTTCACTAAGGCCGTCAAGGTATATTCTTACATCAGTCAGAGGCCGTTTTTATTGAATTTGATGAGGAAATTCACAAATGAAAGAAATTTGGTGAGACCGGCCAAGACTAGATTTGCAACAGCTTTCTTAACTTCTCATAGTTTTTACTTGCAAAAGAAAAACTTGAGAAAGCTAGTTCTTTCAAATGAATGGAAAGATAATAAATATGCAAAGGAAATTGTGGGGAAAGAAACTGTCAAAGTTCTTATTTCTCCATCATTCTGGAATGACGTTGTTCGGGCTCTTAAAGTTGGTGGTCCTTTGATTAGGGTGCTTCGTACGGTGGATGGGGAGAGAAAACCACCAATGGGCTATCTTTATGAAGCTATGGATAGAGCCAAAGAGAGTATTGCAACGTCATTTGAGGGAGATGTCAGGAAATATGAGAAAGTTTTTGAGATAATTGATACCAGGTGGGACAATCAACTCCATCGACCTTTGCATGCAGCAGGCCATCTTCTGAACCCGGGATTATTTTACAAGAACACTAGAGATGGAACTTTGGCTTCAGAGGTGTGGATTGGATACCATGCATGTCTTGAGAAGTTGGTCCCTAATTCAGCGACGATAGATCAAATAGGGGAGGAGTTTGGTAGGTACTCACAAGCAGAGGGCCTATTTGGTTTACAAGCTGCCATTAGAGCCAGACATAGGGTCGCCAGGTAACTAACTTTAATATAGATATCCTTATAACTTTAATTTAATTTATTTGATTTATACTTATTAACTTTTAAAATATTTTTTTATAGAAAAATGGTGGAAGCAATTTGGACATCAAACTCCAAACTTGCAAAAGTTTGCCATCAAAGTACTAAGCCTAACTTGTAGTGCATCTGGATGCGAGAGAAATTGAAGCGTATTTGAGCATGTAAGAAGTAGATTTATTATATTAATATATTCTATATTGTATTATTATTAGTATCTATTAATTAATCTAAATAACTTATGCGCAGATTCACTCCAAGAAAAGGAATAGGCTTGAGCTATCGCGTCTCGATGATCTAGTGTATATTAAATACAATAGAACATTAAGGCGACGTTATGAAGCTCGCGATACCATTGATCCAATTTTGTTGGACAACATTGACGAGGCAAATGAATGGTTAACTGGAGCCCCCCAAAATCATGAAGATGAACAAGTGTATGAAGGAGATGATCTTGATTGGGGTATTGTTTCTATGGCGGCTAGAGTTGAGGAGAATATCTATGGTCTTAGAGGGAGTTCTTCCAGTTACAACGGAAAGGGAGTAGTAAGTTCAAGCCGGTCCCTAATTGATGAAGGCTCCGAGGATGAAGAAGATGATAGCCAATATAATGCTAACATTCATGAAGTTGTAGAATTTGAAAATCTTGAAGAAGAATAGATGTTGCTTGTTTTGGAGTTTAGACTATTAGACTTTAGTTTATGAATCTACTATGAGTCTATGACTATCTATTGAGTCTTTATTTTTTAATGATATATTTATTAATATATTATTGTTATTGAGTTTTTAGTTATATGTATATAATATTTTATGTTTTCGTATAATTGTCGATTCACATCAAAAAGGCGAGCGCTTCGCTGCGGCGCTGTTCGCCTCAGTGAAGCGGGCCCTCGTCGCTATTTGTCCCCGCACGCTATCCAAAACACTGATTTATAGAAACCCCCATAGCTTTTGCCTCTGACGCATTTGGCTCTGGAGATTTAAGGATCAGTATGTCATAGCTCAAGGACAGTGAATGAAAACTAGAACAATACAGTAGTCATACCCTCGCTTAATCGAAACAAAAAGATACGGGAATTTCGACTGTGAAATGGGTTTGGTATTTGGCTCTATGGGGATTGACGTGAATCCAGTAACTGATAAACAAAAGCAAAATAACCAAAAGGAATTGCTCATTTGCAACTCCATCAATTGGATAAGAAAGGGAAGAGGATAGGCAATGGACAAATATTATTTATCAAGAAGACCGGATAGACACTAGTAAGATACAGTCTGTATGCTTATTTTCCATCAGATCAACTTTTTGTTTTTCAGACTTGTGGCACAACTCTTGTTTCTACTGTAGTCAGGGTATGCTAATAGTCTACTATTAATTTAAAATACCCAATCAAATTTTTATGTGAGCCTTCGTAGATTAGAATGTCACAGGTCCCAAAAATAGATTTCATATGCTTACCGAGTTAATGAATTCTTGAAGATCCAGTACAACGCGAGCTTCTATGTGCCAATAAAGCGCTTGTTGGAGACCTCTTTGCTCCAACCAAATCCGTCCAGGACGTGGACAAGTAATTTTCCTACTGTGATTAACAATTCATTCATGCGTCAGCAATCTAGTGCAAAGTTGCAAAGTATATGCATAAATCTTCATAGCCATAGCCACAAATATATGAAATACGAATTTCATGGGAATATGACAGACAGAAAACTTGAAGATAATATAAAAGTTGCAGTATCTGATGATAGATTCTTCCTGGCATTCAGATGCTAAGTCCAAGTTAATTTTTTTTAGTTTTGGAAATACGAGATCGAAACATTTCCCAAATGTCATCAAATATGGATGTTAGCAAAGACCGCAGAGACACCCAATTCAGATATCCATCTCTACTGTGAGTATTATGGTCATAAATGTGTTTAGGCTGAAATTGTACCTGCAAAAGGTGCAATACAGCATCTCACTGCAGTAAGTCGTAGTGTGACGACCCGATAGGTCGTTTTGAACACTAGCCCTTATTTCCGTGTTCCGAGACCTGCGTAAGCTTCGTTTGATCTTTCTTGGTTTGCGTGCATGGTCCGTGTCGCTTTTTGAAAAGTTTTTATGTGAAAATTTAAAGAAAACATGATCTTTTACTTTAAAAACAACTTAAGCTGACTACGGTCAACATTTTGTGAAAACGACCTCGGATCGGTGTTTTGACGATTTCGGTAGGTCCGTATCGTGATCTTGGACTCGGGCGTATGCCCGGAATTGAAATCGGAATTCCCTAGGTTGATTTGTGACTCATTTTGTCGAAAACTAGTATTTTGAATGTTTGAAAATTTCCTAAGTTTGACCGTAAGTTGACTTCATGGCTATCGGGTTTGGATTTTGATGTTGAGACTTGGTATAGGTCCGTATTACTATTTGAAACTTGTCTGCAAAATTTGGTGCAATTCGGAGCTCGTTTGACATGATTCGGTCACTTAGGTGATTCTAGTTGTTCTTGAGTTTCCTTTGAAACTTCATTCATTTTAATGTTCGATTTGTAGATTTAGATGTTATTTTGATGATTTAATCGCGCGAGCGAGTTTATATGATGTTATTACACTTGTGTGCATGATTGGTTTGGAGCCCAAGGGGCTCAGGTGAGTTTCGGACGTGTTTCGGATGAATTTGGATAGTGCAAGGACTACTAGTGCAGTGCCCAATTCTGGTGTCTAATGCAGATCTCGCATTTGCGAGGTCTAGCTCTCATTTGCAGCCTCACTTTTGCGGACAAATGTTCGCATTTGCGAGCAGGGACTGGGATTGGGTAACCTCGCATCTGCGAGGAAATTGTTTGCAAATGCGAACCGTCTCGGATCGCTTTTGCGATCACTTAGTAGAATTTGCGATGCCTGGCAACAGTAGAGCATCTTCGCAGTTGCGAAGATTTTTGCTGCAATTGCGAAGGTGGGATCTTCGCATTTGCGATCATTTTGTCGCAATTGCGACATCTGGACTTCTGAGGCACGGTTAGCATTTGCGACCCTTGTCTCGCATTTGCGATGTTCGCAATTGCGAACAAGACTTCGCAATTGCGACATCAGCAGTTGGGTAAAAGGGGGGAAATCGGGTCTTAACTCATTTTACACCATTTCTCAACCCTAAACACTCTAGAGGTGATTTTTCAAGAGGATTTTTTCCCCAAAATCAATGGTAAGCAATAATTACCCATTACTTTTAATGTGTTCTCAATATCAAATTTAGGGTTTCCATGGTAGAAATTAGGCATTTTGGTAGAAATTGGAGATTTTGTAAATTGAGATTTAGACCTCAAATTAAAGTCTGATTTTGAAAAAAATCACATAACCGGGCTCGAGGGTGAATGGGTAATCGGGTTTTGGTCAGAACCTCGGATGTTGACCAAGTAGGTCAGGGGTTGACTTTTGTTGACTTTTACAAAATTGATCAAAATTGAACCTCTTTCATTGATGGGTAGTTTCTAAAGCTTATTTTGAACCATTTGATCGATAATTTGCTAGATTTGATTGGTTTGGAGGCTTGTTCAAAAGGCAAGGTCGTGGTTGATTGATTGCTTTGATTCTCGGAGTGAGGCAAGTGTTGTGTCTAACCTTGATTTGAAGGAATTAGGAATTCTTGAACTATGTGTTATGTGAATCATGTGGGGAAACGGCGTATATGCGAAGTGACGAGTGTATATATGCCGTCATGGTATCTAGCATGCGGGGATTTGATATTTATTTCATGTTATTCTTGCTTCATGCCTTAATTGTTACATGTCTTTAAATTTTAATTGACTTCCATGCCATATCTGTTACTTGTCATTTAATTGTCCCTTGTCTAAATTTGTCCGTTCTTTCAGACTCCTGCTTAATTGCTATCTACCTCTACCTGTCTCATTGCACACTTTAATTGTCACATGCTTTACTTGTTCTATTGTTTTGTAATATTTGTTGCATTCTATAATGTGATTTCACTTGCGCGAGTTGTTTAGTTGTTAGATACAGATGAATTGGTAAAGTTGAGACTTCGAGTCGTTAGAAATTCATTGATTCATATGTGGTTCTTTAATGCCTTGTACATTGACCCTTTTGATGTAGAAATTCTTGTAAATATGGTTGTTGAATTGTTTATGTTGATGATTGAAATTGTTTGGGGAGCGGGTTGCACGCAGCAACGGAAATTGAAAGGTAATGAATTGAAATAGTGGAATAAGGACGAATTATGATATGGACAGATATGGTGAGATCGGGCGCAACAGATTGCATGTGGGGTACCTGTTTGTGATTGCTGAAATTAGCCTCACCATTGTGATATGAGACTATGAGACTTGTTATTCTGGGCTCTCTTGTAGTCAAATTTCGAGTTCGTTTTCATGAGTAAATTGCTTACTTCCATTTCTCGTTTTCCTGTTATTGTTATTATTATTGCGTACATGTTATTGTAAGTGGCCTGCGTTAGCCTCATCACTATTTCGTCGAGGTTAAGCTCGGCACTTACAGAGTACATGGGATCGGTTGTACTCATACTACACTATGTACTTGTTGTACAGATACTAGAGTTGTTCCCAGCAGCGCATAGTGAGACTGCCCGGATCCAGCTACCTGTGGAGACTTGAGATATAGCCGCATGGCGTCCGCAGTCCTGAAGTCCCCTTCTATCTTGTCATTGTTGTTTATTTAGATTCAAACAGTTGTGTTTATTCATACTATTATCTGTAGCACTCTAGACGCTCATGTATTCGTGACTCCAGTTTCTGGGATTGTATTTAGTTTACGTTATGTAGTATTATATCACCATATTTCAGACTACTGCGGTTTTTATTGCTAATATTTTGAAGTGAGTTGTTAAAACCGGTTAATTAATTTAGCTAACGTTGGTTTGCCTAGCAAGTGAAATGTTAGGCATCATCACGGTCCCGAGGATGGGATTCCGGGTCATGACACGTAGGCATGTCTCTGATTGCCGTGAATGGCTCACTAACCACAGAGGATTACAAGCGCAAAATATGAACTTCACAAAAAACAGAAGATATAGATAAAGAGAAGGAAAGTAGGGGTGGAAGAGTATGAGCCAAGAGCAAGAGTTTCTCTATTTCTCCTGAGAAACAAGGAGATGGACTCTCAATTGTGGCATGGCAGCTTTGACAAAACATGGACGGGGGCAAATAACACTATGCTCTCCAATGATGTACAATAGGAAAACATATATTTCCGTTCGTAATCTATATGACTCAAACCTAATTAAAGGCTCTATTCTTGTACCATACATAGGCTAGATCAGAAATAATGCACGAGAGAAAAATCTAATATTGATGTTAACTGTAATACAATGAACCCTATTTATAAGTACACATAATATATAACCTACTCCTACTACCTATGGGACTAGGACTAATTACATATATGTTCACATAGCTATTCTAACACTCCCCCCCCCCCCCCCCTCAAGCTGGTACATACCAATCATATGTACCAAGCTTGTTACATATATAACTAATACGAGGACTAGTGAGGGACTTGGTGAAAATATCTGCAAGCTGATCATTCGACTTCACAAACTTTGTAGTAATATCTCCAAAGAGTATCTTTTCTCTGACGAAGTGACAGTCAATCTCAATATGTTTAGTTCTCTCATGGAACACCAATTTGATGCAATATGAAGGGAAGCTTGATTATCA